TTACAGCTCAATCCTACTCGAAGCCTGTTTTCGTCAATACGTGTTTTATGGGAGCACAGCCATGCTTATTTTGTTTTTGAGCTGTCTATAGTTGCTTTTCGCCTAGACGGTAGAGTTGAGTGATTGTGACACAGATCATATGGCTCACGGGGCCTAAAATATTTACTGGCTGACTCTTTACAAAAAACGTTTGCTGAGCTCTTGTGTAAGTGATCCAGTTCAGGGGAGAAAATTGATGATGCAGGTGGGAGGGGTACTTGACGTCCTAGAGTAGGCAGGAGTGGGGAAACCTGGCGTGCAGGTGGAGGGTTGGCCTTATCTGGGAGCGCAGAGGGGGCACACAAGAAGAGGGAAGGGAGAATGTGCCTGCACAGATGCAGATGGGCAGGAAGGTATGCGTGGTGTTGGGAGCCTCCAGAAGTCCTCTTCTTCCTGCTTCCATTTTCTCAAGGTCATCTGATGACAATGACCTTGGTCCCAGGGTGTTGCGTTGAGGAGAGAAGATGTGAGAACTCCTAGACAGGGAGATGAAAGTACTAGGGAAACACAGTATGTTTGCTGGGCATTCATCTGAGATAATGATCATGTATTAAAGTGAGGCCAGTCAGCCAGGTCGTGTGCTTCCTCTGGCTTCATTCCTCTGCCTGGGTGCCCATGTGGGGTAGGTGGAAACGTTTGATCTACCAGGTCTGTGGCTTAGCCAAGAGAATGTGCTGAAAGGGAGGAGCATTATGGCAGCCAAGGGTGTAGCCAGGAGAGTGATTATCATCACTGACTGCAGAATTTGAGCTGGGCAAAGAAGGAAGTGAAACATGGTGGGCGAGGGACAGTGAAAAGGTGGAACGACCCATGAATTGAAGGTCTTGCAGGTTGGAAGCATCCCTGGGGGTGAGGTGTTAGAAGGAGTAAGCTGCAGACGAGAGTCAGTGTGTGGGGTTGAAGCCCAAGCTCCGGAAGAGTCGCAGTGATGTTCAGATCTAATACTTTTCAAAAATAAACACTGGGCGGGCCAAGAAGACACACCCACACGCTGAATTTAGCCAGTTTCCCACCTCTGTGTCAGACATCTCCTTCCCCTCCTGATGGATGCTCCTAGCTCCCAGATCTGCCTTTCTATCTCAGCCTCTCTCCTGAGCTCCAGGGCCACAAGTACCCTGCCCATCTGGACTCCTCAAGGACAACCCTCAAATTCAGCTCGTCCCCAGACAAACTTGTCATCTTCCCACAAGCCTGCTTTTTGTCTCTCTTGTCCCCATGGGGGCCTCTTGGCTGCCCACGGCAGAGCCTGGTACCTATTCCTGCTCCCACCAAGTCCATCCTGTACCCTGTCCATTCTTTCTCCTGTATATCCTTTCTCTTGTCTGCTGCTCTCCATCATGCTGCCATGCCGTAGCCAGACTACCAGTTTCCATCAGTTGGACTGACGGCTTTGACAGCCTCCAGAGAGGAACCTCAACCTCTAACCTTCCCACTGATCCGGTCTGTTCTCACTATCCTCATCTTCATCTCCAGGGTCCAACCTGTACTTGGCATCTTGCTGTTGTTGAATGAATGACAACCCTAATGTTTGGGACCTGTAGCCAAAATGCTGCCAACTCGGTGCTCTTATACAACACACATCACCACGTGCTTCCTCCGTTTCAAACCCTTGGATGCCTTCGCTATGCTAGACCTCTTACCTGGCACATAGGCCCCCAACTCTCACTCCAAGTCTGCAGTCACCTGGATACATCTTAACACACTTCTCCCACATGAAGCTCAAACTTCTTTGCTGATGGGGACTGTGTCTTGTTCTCCACTTTGCACAATCTCACAATTAGTAGGAGCTCCATGTATATTGGATTGACTGAACAAGAATATTGAACTTGAAGGTGGAGGACCTGGAATTTAAGCCTTCTGTGGTTTAGTTCAATGCAACTTTCTTTCCCTCCGAGTCTCAGTTTCCTTGATTATAAAATGGGCTGATTTCTGGCCTGCCTTTTGTATGGGACGGTGGCGAGATTCAGGCGAAGGTTTAGGAAATGCGAAAATCACTTCCAGGTATGTCTTAGGTTGGGTTCCTAAGGATGTAGTCGAGACAGAAGCCTCAGCTGGTCCAATGGGAGCTCTGCAGCTGGGATGGCCCGAACTGAAGCAAAGGGACTGGGTCTTTGTACCATATCTGTAAGTAACTGGATATGAGTTGCTTTGGGGAGTGAAGTGGGTATGACCCTGGTGGAGGCTGCTCCTTTCAGCTGAGAGCAGTTCCCAGAGGACTGAGCCATCAACTAACACAAGGGCAGCTAAAGACGAGTGGCCTGATCCTGACCAGGAGGCCTGGATGGCGCAGTACAGCATCCTCACCAGCTCTAGGGTTTTATGGCTGTCAGTAGCCATGGAAATATCGGGGATCTGTGCTGCTATAAATTCACAGTCTCTTTCAGACCCTTAATGATCTGCCCTCCCGCCGTTCCTATCCCTCCTTCCTCGCCTAAGTCACTCCATCACACTGCTGCCTTTCCTCTTCCGCCGATATTTCATTCACAGTTTTGTCTCAGGTCCTTCGCTTCTGCTGTTCCCTCTGCCTGGAACACGCTTCCTTCAGATCTCTGCACAACTCATTTCCTTGCTTTCATCAGCTCTTTATTCAAAAGTCCCTTCTACAGAGAGACCTTCCCTGACCTGCAAGTTTAAAATATTCTCTTCCGTCTTTTTACTCTGCTTTATTTTTCTCTATAGCACTTATCACTGCCTGAATTATATATTCATTTGTTTCTCTGTGGAAGATGAACCCCGTGAGGGTGGCGACCCTGTCTTGTGCTACATTCTCCATCTCCAAGGCCCACCCTGTGCTTGGCACCACTGTTGCTGAATGTGTGACAACCCTAATGATTGAAACCAGCAGCCAAAATGCTGCCAGCTCAGCTGGCCCTGGCTTCTCAGTCACTGACTGGCTGTGTCACTTAAAAGACTTATGTCACATACCTACTGTGTGCCAGGAACAGCCACAAATAAGTACCTCAAAAGCCCAAGGTTATTGGTGGGAAGGGAAGTCGATAGGCACAGTTCCTCCCTGGAAAGTGGTTTCGGTGGGCTGGCTTCAGAACTGAGTAACACCAGACTTTGTCCTAGGAGGTCACTTGTGTGCTCAGTGGCCATTCTGTGCCCAACGTGGCCTGGCCTCAACATCCACCCACCTAAGACTTATGTGCCAACCTCCTTTTCTAAGTGAGATGCTCCCCTTTGGAACATTCTTGCCTTCCTCCCTCTCCTGTCTGCTTTGGCCTCCTGCCCGCTTCTGCCCTCAGAACTCCCACCTTGTCTGTTGCTGTGCTCCCTCCCCCAGGGACATTTGTATACACCTTTCTCCAGCAGGATAGAGTGGACTTCGCATCAAAAAGCCTGAGTTCTTGTCCCAGATCCACCATGTCCTTGCTGTGTGACCTTCAACAGGTTGCTCAGCCTCTCTGAGCCTCCATTTCTTTCAGTAAAACAACGAGGTCACATTTAAAGTTCCTTTGGAGTTAGAGTGTGAAATATAGATGTGATTCTCTGTATAAAAGCACCCAGCTCAGTGCCAGTACAGAGTGGGACTTAGCAGACATTAATTTGTTGTGAATCCTCACAAAGCTTTCCTGACCTGCCCTCTCACCACCAAACCAGAGGTAACACCTAATCTCACCACAACTCCCACACAACTTGCTTTACCTCTGTCATGGCCCACTGTGAGTGGCAGCACTATACAGTAGTTAAGTGCTGGAGAAATGCTGATGGGAAGCCAGCTGGCATTCTAACTGGTCCATGTGTCAGGGAATACAGCACACTGGACATTGTCAGTCATTGCCAGCCACAGCACAGGCCTCATGTGGCCAGATCTTCCAGTTTTTCAAGAGAAATTAGAAATGCAGATTTGTATGTGAAATTAGCCTCTTCAAAATATTGGCAACAAATTCAATGAAAAAAAAAAAAAAACTGCGGGAACCAAATAAAATACAACTAATGGCTGTACTGGCTTCAGAGAGTGCGTTCAAATCCTAGCTGTACCCTACCCCTGACCTTGGCCAGGTTACAGTCTCCTCTCTGTGCTTCAGGTCCCTTACCCGTAACAAGAGCTCAGCAATGCTCATGTATTGAGTTCCCCTCTGGGTGTCAGGCACCTTTCTTTCTGTGCCTCAGCCGTTTTGATCCTCTCAATAACTCAATGAGGTAGGGGCTGTTATCAACTCAGGGTCCTAGAACTGTGTATAAACCCAGGCAGTCTGGCCCAATGGTGTGCCTGTTAACCTCTGTGAGTGTGGC